ACAATAGACGGCCACCCGTGCAGCGTAGCCAACCCGAGCAAAGAGAAGGAGGAAAAAAGTTCACTGTGGCTGCGGTCTTTGAACGCCTGTGCCCTTCTAGTGCACTAATCGGCTTCTGGACGCTTGGCGGGCGGTTCGCTGGTGTCTTAGTGCCGCCGCTGGAGCTCTAGATGTCTTTTTTTTGTAGCCCCTATTGGCAGCACCCGTTGCGGCGTGCGCTGGGGCGTGCGTCGCTCGGCCGCTGGCGCCAATGGCCCAAGGGTATCGTAATGGGACTGGCGGTTCCATTAATTCCAGGAGGTGGCTCCGCGCTGCTCCGCGCTCCGCCACACTGTCGGGGTGAACGCCTCCCGAGACAACAGGGCCCCGCGACGCGCCTGGACGCGGCCCGCTGGACAAGGCGATCACCGCCATAATCTTGTTACCGCGCCCAGATTGCTCTTGTTTTTGCTGCCGGATTGGTTTGGGACGTGCCGCTGCACTGTTGTTGTTGTTGTTGCCGCCAATTTGGCGCTGGTAACTTTGGTGATTTTTTTTTGTTTTCTGCTTTTTTTTTGTTGTTGCGTGGGCGGGTTTGGTCGGCGCGTGCGCCCCTGCGCGCCCCGAGGAAAGAAAGTGGCATTGGCCGGGGCACCGAGATGGCGGCCCTGGATTGGCTGAGCCTGTTTTTCAGTGTGCCTACGTCGCGAACGGTCCTTGTGCACGTCCCGCGTCCCGCCGGCCAGGCCACGGCCAGGCCGAAGGTGGCGGTACGGTCACCTCCGGCAGTCACTGCTTGCTTGCACAACGGGCCGGCCATCCGATGGCATAGCCGCTCTGGGAGCGGCGATGCAAACTACTTGCAGTGCAGGCGCTGCACTCGACTGGACTGGTCAGTCTTTGCCAATATCTCGCTCCATTGGCCCATCGGGGCCGCCGCGCCGCCCCTCTGTGAGGCGTGCGGGGGCGTCGGGGGCCGCGGCACTGTATGCCGAGCTAATGGGCGCGTCTTTGTGGCGGAGTTTAGTCAGCGCCCAGTGAGTGTGTGTGCACTAGACGCGTTAGTGTCGGCGGCTCTGCGGCCTCCTCTCTTTTCATGCGGCCGTATTGCCAACGCGATGGCGGTTTTCGCGGGAGCGTCTCGCGGGTCTCGCGCATTCACACGCCGTGTATTCATCATCACGAGACGCGTGCTTTGTGCGTCCGTCTGTCTGTCTGTCTGTCTGTCTGTCTGTCTGTCTGTCTGTCTGTCTGTCTGTCTGTCTGTCCGTGCGCGACCCGGCGCGGGTGTCGACACGAACCCTCCACCGATGGCCGTGGCGTGCAGGGCCGTGCAGGGCCCGCCCGCGCCCTTCGCGCCAAACTGAGCGGCCCCGTTTTTGTTTTGAATTGAATGGGTGGCGCCACTCGGCGGCGTGCCTCGAGCACCCCGTCCACCCCGTCCACTTTGTCGCCGCGTGATGGGAGTGGCTCGCCAGACAATGCGCGAGACGCCGTCCAGACGCCGGCCATTGTCATCTCTCAGGTTCGGCGGGCTGTGCTTGGGCTGCTCCGTGATGATGGTGCGCCACGCCCCCGCCCGCAATCGGCGACCTTGGCCCGCCTGCGTGTGGTGGAGGCCCTCGGTCCACCGTCAAGCTGCTCTTGATGACGAGGGCGGAACTTCCCGCGAGCCTGCCTGAGGCCTCCGCGCCGGCGCGTTAAGCAAACCACGCCGTCCATGACGCCATGCCCGCGCGCAGCGCAAACCTGCCTGCCTGGCGTACTTACATTGCACTGGCCGCTCGCAAAGGTGAAATTAGCGGTAAACGCGGCTGCGAGGCACTTACTGCGAGGTGCGGGTGGCTGGCCAGGCCAGGCCAATACCGGGCCGATTAGTTGCAGGGGTCAGTGGTTGCCGTTTGGGCCCCTTGGGGGGCCCTATGCCCGTGGGGCTGCGGGGGCCCCGCCGCGGACTGCGAGTACCGCGACGCGGCGGAAGGCTCGAGGCAGCAGAGCGGAGCCCCGCCCCGCCCCGCCCCGCCTTGCCAGTAACCTTTCCTGTATTGTAATGCGGGCGGGAGCGCTGACCGCGCTGCGCGTACATATCGTGTGCCGCTGGACAACGCGCCGGGCTTCAGCAACGCAGTTTTTCCTTCCTTTCTGAAGAGATTTGGTTGATTTCCACCACCGCCTTCAGTCTCAGTTCCAACCAACCTACAGTAGTAAAACATTTCCGATTTCCAAGAAAAACTTTTTGGCTGCGTCGTTGACTTGGTGGACGTCGTTGACTTTGGCCGGGCGATGCGCCAGCAGATGCTATCGCTTGGCACGCGGGCGACGCAACTCGCTGCTTAATTTGTGCGATCGAACGGGTACCCCGCAGTAGCCTGGAGTGGCCTGCAGTGCCCCCCACTACCCCCACCCCTGATCGGACCCCCTAGTCGCGGCAGGGCGAGGCAGGCAGGGCCAGGCAATCCCCAGCAGCATTCCAGCCGCTGCTGTCGCTCCTTCGTTAGTGTTTCTGGTTTTGTTTTTGCCCGGCAGTGGCGTGGCGTGGCCGTGCCGTGTCACGCCACTGTGTGAAGCAGTACCCCTTTGGGACATCACGCGGTGCGGAATATTTAAAAAGGCGCTCCTCGGAATAGCAATCGCTGGCGGCGTGGTTGTTGACGTCCTCCTCGTCTGCACACCGATTCCGAACAGTGCTTGTCTCTGTCTTTCTCACTCGCGCGCTCTGGTGGAAATAGAGTGCGAGAGAGACAGACTGATTGTTCGTTCGGGAGAAATGTGATACTCGGTGACCTTCACCTCGGCGTCGTTGTTCGGCGGCCAGCCCAATTGTGGTTCAATGCCAGGTCGCTGGAGGCGCTGGAGTCTCGCCGGAGGCCCCGCCAAGGACGGCGAGGACGGGGAAGGGGCGGCGATGAGTCGAACCGGTTTGGCGGCGCCTGGGATGCCTTGATGCCGCTGGAGAGGAGTGCCGAGGGCTGCGCTGGAGGCTCGCTGCCCGTCAACGGAATGAAACTTCAGCGGCAGGCGATGGCGTCGGGGACGGGGTGGGAAATGTGTGACGACTTAGAAGGACGTCCACGCCGTGACCGTCGAGGTGACCGTGGTGGTTCGCGACGCCCAGCCACTGCACCTGCACTGCAAAGCATGCCGGGGAAAGGTTGTCGGATTCCGAGCGTTCTGGGGTACCGCCGCGGTACCGTTGATAAGTTCGACTCGGCAAAGGGCGTGGTTGGCCGGGGCTACTGTACTCTGATTCGCTGTCTTTCTCGCACTCGCAGTGTGCCGTGGCTGTGCGAGAGAGCGCGCTGTTGGCTGCCTGCTTCCGGGCATTCCGGCGGGCATAGCGCGGCATAGCCGGCGGGGTCGCGGAGAAAGGGCGCCGGCGTGCATGCCCCGCCGCCACACTGCGAAAAACGGCGCGCAACGTCGAATAAACTTGACGACAGCGAAATGTGAGGAATGCGCGCGCTTTGCGCTGGAATGGAGTTTCTAGTGTAGCCGCGTCCTGCTGGTCTGTCCGACCGGCGCTGTCAGCGGCCGAGCCTGCTCGCCGGCGTGTCTGCCTGCACTGCGGAGCCGAACCGGGTGATTAACTCGGCGCCGACAGGCGGGGTGTAAAACGCTGTAAAGGGTGTACCCAATGGTCGTGATGTGCCACTCCCCCTCCCGCAGTGTGTCGCCCTACTCCGCGGCCCTGCTCTGCCTCAGCCCGGAATGCGGCTCGGATTGACTGCACCGCCCCGCCCCGCCTTTGGCCGGAGAAAGGGCACCTGTCTCCACGCAGGCCCCCCGCCCCACCGCCAGGCCCCCGATGAGGGTGGCGCTCCACTCATTACTAAGCTGCTCGAATGGAAATGAAAAACACGACGCCACCAGGGTGGCCATTCACTCCGGACGCCTCATGAGAGCGAGAGAGAGGGAGAGCTTCCGCCCGCGATGAGTGCACCGGGGTCTCGACCGGGGTCGTGGCCGTCGGCGCCCCGGCCGGCGCCTCGTAGGGCATCGCTGGGCTTAGCGCGACATGCAGGCGTTGCAGTGTGCCAGGACATCGGCCCCTCGGCCCGCCCTAGGGCTTCGCTGCCCCGCCGCCCCGCCGCTGCATTCCGACCGGCAATCCAATTTGCTGCTATCTGCCTGCGGGGCCCTCGCCCGGCCGCGCGGATGGGGCGGAGGATCCGGCTGCGTCACCCGCCGGGAGGAGGCGGTGCAGGCCGAGACGGAGGCGAGTGGCCCGTGGCACGCGGGACGCTTCCGGCGCGCGTCCGGGTCCGCGTTGGCCGCCGGGTCAGGTCTGAGGCCGAGGTCCGAGAGGCTGAGGGCAGTGGAGCCTCCATCGCTCGGCTTGTTCGAATTTCGAGCAGCGTCGTGGAGCCCAGCCGGATGCTGCTGGGTCCCTCCGGCTCCCAGGCTGAGGCGGCGCGTCCCAAGCCCTGACGGAATGCACCTGCGGTTCGCTGCCTCACTGCCACCGCGGCGGCGAATATTATTTGTTCTCCGGCTGGTACTGCACTGTAATTACCTGCCGCTCGGCGTACAGGGCGATGACGACGACGCCGTGACCACCGATTCGGCGGCCCGCGGCTTCCCACGACCGCCGCGCCCCGCACTGTCGGCTGATCGCTATCGCCGAACACTCACTCACACACACACGGCAATTTTATTTGTGTGTATTGGGCGCTCGCGATTCTGTGGGATTTTTTCCACGGTTTTGAGTGGTGCCGGCAGGGCGCTGCGGCGCGGAGGTCCTCCCGAATGTAGTAGAGCCCCGCCCCGCCCCGCCCGTCGTCCGCGGCCCAGTTTTGCGCTATCAGATGGGACGTGCTATCGGTCGCACTTTCTCACTCTCGCGGAAGAAAGTGTCTCCCTTTTTGTTCCTCTTCTTGCGGCGGGGCGGCGCATCTGCCGCACTGTCGAAACAGGCCGACTCCTTGAAGGGGGCACTGCAAAACTGCATCGTGGAGAAGGTCCCCACTGTAAGCCCTGGATGTTGTTGCGTTTTTCTGATGGAAGTATTTTGACTGTTTCAGGTGAGCTGGTGAGCCAGGCGGTCAGCATCCCGGCATGCAGGTGCGTCTTACGTGCTGCGGACTGAGTGCTTCTGTGCGTCTGTCGCACTCGTGGGGCGGTCCTCACGGGTGCGAGAGAGACAGAGCGACGGAATCGCTGGGCTGACGATAACTCTGGATTTTGGGAGACGGTTTCTGGTGTAGTACCACGTGACCGGTGCAGCGGGATCGTTGTTGGACTGGGATTGACGCGGGTCTGGCTGCAGGCTGTGGCGTTACGACCACTTAATATTTTTTTTACGTGCGTCATTGTGTTGGATTAGTCCGCGAGAGGCGAGCCGGGCAGCCGGGCGGCAGAGCTTATTGCTGGCTTACTTAGCAGCGCTTCTCAAACGGGGCTTCCAAAGTGCCAAGTGACTTTGATTCCATGTTACTATTTATGTGAGACACAAAAATGCGAAAAAAAAATGTATCTGAAACCTGGAAATGTTTTTGAATGTTAATTTAAAGTGCTTTTTGACGCTGCTGTTTTTCGACGTGCAATTATCGAGTCACCTTCCGTCCGTTTCTTTCTCGGCCGGCATAGCAGCATTAATTCGATCGGCAAACATGCAAGAATTTCCGCCGCCGGCTGCGCCGAGGCTGCGCCCAGGCCGGCAAAGGCGAGGCCGAGCGCCGCGCTTGTGTGTCTCTAGATCCAGCGGCCAGATAGATAGACGAATGCATTGAATGGTGCACTGGCCGGGCCGGCCTGCGCATTGGCGGGTCGCGGGGCAGTCCCATGGCAGGCCTCCCAGGCCGTGGGCGAGGCTAGGCGAGGCGCATGACGGCTGTGTGGCACAGTGCTGCACAGTGTGGGCACGCGGCACCTGTTTAGCCTCGCGCTGTCGACGCCAGCGCTTGCTTTGATTTAAACGCGGAGTACGGAGTGCGCGGAGTAATTATTCCCCCAGCGGACCACGCAAAAAAAAGCGCCAGTAAAAAACATAAAGAGGAACAGGGAAAGCTGTACGCATCCTTTTTTTGTTGTTATTGTTGCTGAAAATGCATTCGGCTTTCTCTCCCCTTGTCGCGCGGCGATAATCGACTGTCATTTTCTCGCTGTGCAAGTGCGGGGCGGGGCGGGGCGTCTGCACGCCGCCGAGGTGTCGCGCCATTGAAATGAATATGCATTGGTTCGGCTGTCGCGGCGCTGTCGCCTCGTCACGGCCGCGTCACGCGCCCCGTCACGCGCCTCGTCACGCCTTCGTCCGTCACGTCCTTGTGTGTGTCGTGCGCGCCGGCGCCCGGGGCGAGGCGTGGCCGTCAGCGCGCCGACGGGCCGACGGGCAGGCCGGCGACGTGGACGTGGAGGCCGTCGTCGCCGTGCTGCGAGGCGCGGGGTCAGTGTCACCGAGGAAGACCGTGGAGCGCACCGCCTGCACCGCGTGCACCGCCGCCTTGTCTCGTTGCGGTCGCCGTCGTCCTGGCCGCGGCTGCCCGCCTCGTCGTCGTGGTCGTCGTCTGCCTTTGTCGTGAGTCGCGCTGCGGCGATGCGGTTCCAGCCCGCCGCATCGCGTTATATTCGTCACATTAGCGAAGCCCAGAGGCAAAGCCCACTCCGAAATGTGCTTCACCTCGCTCGCTCCGTCGCGCTCGGGCCGCTAGGGGTGCGAGAGAGACAGGGCGACGCGGTGCGGCGTGGGGCCTTGCCGCTGGCACAGTGCGTCCGCGCGCCCCCATCGGGGCCATCGGGGCTTGGGGCCGCGCCGGCCGCACGTTCGTTAACCTTTGGTGCCCCGCGGACGGCGCAGCCAATGGCGCAGCGGGTGGAGCGCAGCGATCGGCCTGGAGTGAATGAATGGACGAATGAACGAGCCAGCCAATGGGGAATGCGTATGGAAACGCGGGATCAGAACGTCGTCTTCTCCCCGCGCTGAACGGCCAGCTGCCCCGCCCCGCCCGGCCAATTTGCGTCGCGCGTGCCACCACGCCCCGCGCCATCCCGCCTCCTTGTTCTCGATGTATTTTCTTCTCACTTTTCTCGTGAAAGTCGACGCGGCCGTCGCCAAGGCAGCCCGTATACTAATCCGTCCCAACGGTCCAACGGGCGCGCGGACAGACGGACGCCGCGTAGGGTGACGGCACGGCCGAAACGAGGGCGGCACTAGATGACTCATCCGTTGACGCGGCGCGGGGCCCAGCGGGGCCCTGCAGGGCCGGGCAGCAGAAAAGGGTGCGGAGCGTGGCCGCGCGGCAAGGAAGCAAGCACCGCCAAGATGGCCCACAGTGATGGACTCCCCGGCTCAATTGAAAGTGGATCCGTAACTCCCTGCCTGCCTTTCCCTCGACGCGCCTTTTTCTAGGGGATCGGGCCATCTTGATCAGCGTGCCGTTTTGCTTTTGCTTGTTTTTAGCTTGTGTTTGCTTTGCCGCCGGTGTGCCGGCGACTTGAACGCACTCGGCAGGGCGGGCCTGGCAGGGCTGCCGGCCTTGTGGCGGTGGCGGTGCGCGGCCCGCTCGCTTGCCTGGCTTGCCTGGCTTATCGGGTGCAATACGACTAGACGGCCGTGCCACCTGTTGGTTGGTTAGTTTAGCATGTGGGAGCGCGTCGCTGGGCCTCGCGGTACCGCTCAGCCCGCCCCCCTCTCCCTCCCACTCTCCCTCTCTCTCTCTCTCTCTCTTTCTCGCTCTCCTCGGCCCGCGCTCAGCTCATCCCCTCGCAGGCACCGTTACGCGCGATCCACTCTACACTACACCGCGAGAAATGGGAGGCGGTGTCGTTTTTGCAGTGTCGCGTGTCGTCGTCCTGCCGGTGTACTGTACAATTAGGGCCAGCATTGGGGGCCGTATTGTCCGTCTTCGCAGTGTGGCCGCTTGGCGGACTGTTTTGCCGTCGCGTTTTATAATGCAGCGCGCACGACTCGGTCCTTGGTTCTAACAGCAGATTCTTTGTCTTTGTAATTCAATTATTTTTTCCAATCTCCCGCCGACCTTAAAAGTGGGCCTTGCGGGCAGGGCGCCAGGTGGCTGCAGGCAGGCGGCTAGGCTCCGGGGGCTGGGGTCATGAAAAATGCGTCGGCCAGAACGAGTCTGTGATTGGCTGCGCCCTGGCTGCGCTAGCCGCGCTGGCGGGTTATTATTTAAAACCCCAAACTACGCCGACTTGGCCGACTACGCCCAGCAGCCTTGTTATTCATTCGTTCGTCGGTCGGCTGGCCTGGTAACCTTCGACCCGCCGCCAGGCCGCCACGGCCGCCACGGCAGCCCGCAGGCCTGGAAGGCACACTGGAAGGGCATCGGCACGCTCTCGTGTCGCGCCAATTGGCCTCACGTGGCGAAACTTTCCTTGAAATTAAGCGGCTTTGACGCAACGGGCACGTACGGCGCAGGGCAGGGCTGAGCAGGGCTCTAGCTCCAGCTGGCTGCTGGCTCCGTTCTCCGTATCTCTCATCTCGCGCTAAGCTATTCGCTTTTGTTCGACGCCGGAAGGCGGCGCCGTGGCGTAACCCGTGCCTTCCTGCCGGCCTGGCTGGGCCCGGCTGGGCCCCGGCGTCGCGACGCTTCCACCGGGGCGGCCGGTCGGTGTCATTGTGGCATTGTTTGGCCCCATTTGGAGTTGGAGCCGCTCAGCGCTCGCACCTTGGGCCGCCGTGGCGCTGGTCGTCATCGTGGTCGTCTCCTTGCACGTCGGCGTCCTGGTCTTCAGAGACGACGTGGTGCTGGTCTTCGGTGACATGGCCGTCGTCGGCGACCTGGTGGTGCTGGTGCTCATCGTCGGCGACCTGGTGCTGGTGCTCGTCGTCGGCGACCTGGTGGTGCTGGCCGTCGTCGTCGGCGTCCCCAGTCCCTGCAGGCCGAAGACGCGCGGAGACGCGGCGAGTTTGATATCCAGCGAATTAGCCGATGGCGCTGCGCTGCGCGGGGCTGCGCTGCCGTACCGGGAAATCGGTAATGGCCCCGATGCCATTTATGCTGGCGGGCTGGCGGAGGGCTGGCGGAGTGAAGGGCATTAGTTTCGCGGTTGTCCAGTGCATTGTGGAGGAAGGCGGGGCGAGGGCTGCTGCGGTGCCGCGCCGTCACAGCCGAGGCTTTGTTTCCGCCGGTGGTCCGCGCCGGACTTGTGTGTGGTCGGGGTGCATCATGTGCTTTCCCATTTGGCGAGGTGCTACACTGTTACAGGACGTGGTTCACACTGCAAAAGTGATGTCATCCGCATAAAATGCTCTTTTTTCGGTCCGACTCCGCGATAATTGCTGGTGATTTTACAGTGTGTAGTCCCCCTTCCCCGGCTCCGCCGCCCAGGAGGGCCCCGCGAGGCGTGTAAAATTGTAATTTGGGCCCTCGAAGGCCTTGGAGGCCTTGAGCGACTCCTCGTTCCCAGGCGGGTCGATATCGATTATTGGGCGGCCGATGAACCGCCCCGCCCCGCCCCGCGGCTTGCGTAAGCTGATAATTACAGCGCGTAGGACCGCCGCGGGGCGCGCCGTGCATCGCCGCGACTATAGGGTTGCCGCCAGCCAGCCGCCGGGCTTTCGGGGTTGCCAGCAGGCTTATATAGGATTACCGCCCGGCCGGCCTAGAGTTGCCGCCTAATTTGCCTCCGCGCCGCCGAGTCAGTTCTGCTAAGTAGCCGGAGGGCAGCGAGGCCGGAGGCCGTGACCGCCGCGGAGGGGGAGGGGGAGGGGGTTGCGTCGGGGGCTTGGGTGTTAGCGGGACAACGCTATGAGAAATGAGCGAGGCGGCCGGCCGTGCGGTACGCTGCAGCGCCATTCCGAGAGTCGCTCTGTCTCTCTCGCACTCACGGGACGGTCTGGTCGGTGCGAGAGAGACAGAGCTACTCTCGGAATCGGTCTGCTGGCGGTGCGCTGCGGCCCAGCCTGGCCCAGCGCCGCGGCCCGCGGCGTCTCCGCGAGACAGTCTTGATGCTTCCGCCGCCATCCGTCGTGAGGCCCGAATCAGACGCCGCGAGTCACGGCAGCCAGGCAAGGCGCGGCCCGAGTGAAAAATGAGCCGATCCAGTTGGCCGGGGGCAGGCTGCACAGTGGGCCAGAAGGCCGGTGCAGGCGGCCAAAATCCCGGAAGCGTTTTGAGCTCCAGAGTCGCTAAATGGGGCTCGAGCCGAACGTGTGACCCCACCAATGGATTCCTCGTTCGGAGAGCAATCCATTGGTGGGGTCACACGTTCGGTTCGAGTCCCACGTAGCGACTCCGGAGCTCAAAACGCGTCTAGAGTTTTCGGCCCCCTGGCCCACTGTGGGCTGGTAGGCAGGCAGGGCCGCCGCGCCCACGCCGAGATAACCAAGTTTTGGGCAGTGATCCGGTCCAAGGGCGGCGGGACGTGTTTTAATTATCGTAGATGACGCAACCACACTGCCGCCGATGAACGGCGAGAATGGCGACGAGGAAAGGAACAGAACTGGTCGGCGCGACTTTGTCTTCCATCTCCCGAAAGTCCGCGCTCTCTCCGCACGACGCTGGAAGAAGCGTGTCGTCGACGAGGCGGCATCGACGTCGACCAGAGGCGAGCCGGAGGCACCGGCTCGGCGCCGTCGTTTGTTACTTTTCGCACCTTGTCAGAGTCGGAGGCTGCCTCTGCCTCGCCGCGCCTCGCCGCGAAAGTGGAGATGGGATGGGCGGGGCCTGATCCCGGTCGCTCTGTCTCTCTCGCACTCGCGGCGGCCGCGGCCCGTAGGGGTGCGAGAGAGACGGGGCGAGCATTCGGTCCGAGGAGGGAAGCGCTGATTGAACGGCAAGCGCCATCGGCGAGGAGACCTGTGTCCAGTTTAGTTTGATGCCGGCCGGCTGGCTGGCCGGCTGGCTGGCCGGCTGGCTGGCTGTTTGTGAAGATGCGGTCTGGCCGGCCGGCCGGTTGACGAGGCCCCAGGCTTTCCCACGGCGACACAGCGGCCCTCGCCTCGTCTCGTCTCGTCATCGGCCGGCCGCGGCCGCGAGGCGGGGAGGGACTCTCGACTTCTCGACTCGACGCTGGAAGTGGCCTCGCGCGCTGCCGATCCAACGCCATCGCATCGGAAAAAGAAAACAAACACAATGGTTGATTGTTTCACTAAGATGAAATGCTGTCTTACTGGATTGCCGTGTTGCGGATTAGGGAAAAATGGCTAATTTTGTTGTTTTTTTGCTGCGTGTGTTTTTGTTTTTACTTGATTGTCCGTTCGGCGAGGTGAACCCCTGCGGAATCTGCCGATAGGCTGTCCCGTCGAGCAGGCGTGCGTGCGGGACTGCCTACCTCGCAGGCGCCCACAGCCCCTGACGGAGGCGGGGTAGGCCGTCCCGCACGCACGCCGGTTCGGCGGGACTGCCTATCGACGGACTCTGCAGGCGCTTGATTGGAGTGAAAGGCCAAAAAGTCACTGAAACGCAGCAGGCCGGCTCGAAGTGTTCCGCAAACAGTGGCGGAGTTCTGAAACGGCGGAAAGCACGGATGCATACAGGTTGGCCGTTGGTTCCGCCAGATGCATTCGGAGTGGCGCTGGCGCGCCGTAGCGCCCCGGCGCCTCGGCCTCCGTGCACGGCGGCATGGTGCCCGGCGCCACACGCGGCCGCCTCGCTCTGCCCGTGCAGCGTGGCGGGGCACTGCGCCACTACGCGTCCCGAATCGCCTTTATTGCGACTGACCGCACGAACCGTGCCGCGCCGCACGGCGGCCGGGCCAGCGGAGCGCCGCAAAGTGGAGGAGAAGATGCGAGCGGGGCTCGGCTGGAAATGCACTCTGTCATCGCCGCATCCTCGCCCCAAATCACTCTGCAAAAAAAATTATAGCGTTACTATTTTTATTTTATTATTTTATTTATTGCCCATGCGGCCGCTTGGGCTAAGACTGCGGCCGGCAGCGTGTAGTCAGTGCAGGCCTAGCCAAACAAGTGTGCGGTTAGCCTGGCGGGAAATTAATGTGCTGGCCGCTGGAGTCCAGGCAGGGCCCCGTTGTGTGCACTTCCTAGCCCGGCCTGGCGGCCTGGCCATGCTGGCAGCCTCGCCCGGCCCTTCGGGTCGCGTGTTGTTGTGCAACCTGACCGGCAGCGGGACGAGGCGAAGCGAACGGGGCGCGCGTTTTAATCCCTGCAAGTTATGGACGGTGTCAAGGGTTTACAAGTGCAGGCTGATCAGCGTAGCTGGGAAAACTTTAAAACGGCAGCATTTTGTAAAACGGATCACCAAGTCTTTGAAAATCGCGAAGCAGCTATAAATGCTGTTGAACGACGCAGGGTGAGTTTTGAGAGAGAGAGAGAGAGAGAGAATGTAGGTGTAGCAAGGGTGTCGGTCGGGGCCGCGGAGATCGCCCCGCCCCGCCCCGCCCCGCCCCGCCCCGCCCCGTGGCGTGAGAAGCTTGTCGTGCGGCGGCCGGCGCGGCGCGGCCACGAACTTGACCCTGCTCTGCCGCGCAAGGCCACTGCATTGTCGCGTGCGTCGCGTCCGTCTCTCTCGCACTAATTACCGATCCACTAGGCGCGTCGGAAAAACACACACCCTCTCACTCTCGCATTGTACTCCGCGAGAATGGTTTATTTCCGAACCGATTTGCTCATCGTCGCGGGTAAGAAGACCGACTGCTAAAATGTGCGCCACTGCCGGCTGATTGACCAGTTCGTATTATTATTGTTATTATTGGCGGGCTTGTAATTTCCTGGCCGTGGCGCCGCGGCCGGCAGACGGACTCGGTTGCTGTAATTGGTGGCTGAAAGGGGGAGGGGGCGCCTTGCCGCGCCTTGCGGTTTTAGTTGCGAAATTGGCCGCCGTCCTCATGTTTCACGTCTGCGGCTGTTTAAAGCTCAATCAGCTTCGGAAAAAATGATGAAAAAAATAGTTCGTTTGCTTTGATGGCTAGGAACCGCGTTGTCGGCTAGCGAGCGACAAAAAAAAATGGAAACTGGTTCAGTCTGCGTGGATGATGCTGCTCCAGGCGGGACTCCAGGCCGGGGCCCTGGCGGTGTGAACGCGTCGCGGCGACTGGATTGGTTCCAGGATGAGCCAATCGGGGGCCGTCGAAAACGGGGAACCGGGAACGGGGTTCTGATTAACGGGATTGGCGATGATGACGCCGACTAGTCGCGCCAGGACGTGGCGGCATCACGTCCCGCTGGACCCCCGGAAGTGGGTTAGGCTGCACGGCGCTCCGGGTCCGGCAGGTCCAGCAGCAGCCGGCAGGCCGTCCTCCCCGCCGCCCACAAGAAAGCCCTGCACTTGCATCCGATCCGACCGGGCGATAGCCGCCGTCTCTCTATGGCCGCGCTCGTATTCCGAATCGCGTCTGTCTCGCTCGCACCCGCTGGGCGCTCCGCGAGAGAGAGAGAGAGACAGCGCCGTTCGGAAGGGCGCTTGCAGCGTCGTGACTGCAGTGTTTGCCTGCCCTCTCGGCTCCGTGGCACTCCGTGGCACTCCGGGCGCCGTGTCCGCTAATCGTGACTGTGTTTGTAATACTGTCCCCCAAGTTCAGCGGCGCGATGACGGCCAGCCTCTGTGTGTGTGAGTGTGTGTACGTGTGTGTGTGTGTGTGGTTGGCTAGCCGCGGCCGTCAGGGCAGGCCGTTGTTGTTGTTGTCGTCGCTGATGATGCTCTCTGCATGGCAACGGCAGAAGCAGTTCCCACCTGAAACCGAAAGAGGATGGGAGTCTCTTATAATCGGGAGGCTTGCCGCTTGCCGCCGACACGGCAGCCAACTTCGTGCCAGGGACTCGGAGCGTCCAGAGTCCTCTGCGAATATGCGCACGCTTAAATCTTTTCGGTCGGTGGTTAATGAAAATTGCAGGTTTTTGACTTTGGCCCGGCTTTGCATTGGCTTGTTGTAACGCTTCCTCTTTCGTCTGTTGCAGTGATCCGCGGGGTGCCGCTGGTGCGGTCAGATGAACGGTGAGCTTTGGATTCGGGCCCCTTCGTCTCTGTCGCACCCTTGTGGGCCGCCCCGCGAGTGCGAGAGAGACGGCTTGACGAAAGCACTGTGGCAGGCCGGCATGGGCATCATAGTGGTGATCATCTTGACGTTCCCAAGCCGCTTCCCCGCTTCCTCGTTGTCGGGGACGTCCCGCCGTTCGCACGCTGTCCGTCCACGCACGCTAGCCAGCAGGCCGGTCCTTGGGCCTCGTTGGGCGGTCCGCCGCGCCAGACACCGCCTTCTTGCAGTTCGTTTCGAATCCGCGTGGAAAATCACTAAATAAAAGATTTTCTCGACTAGTCGCTTCTAGTTTCCGACCGGCGAGTACGTGGAGCAGAATGTTGCCTCCCCGCTTTGGCCTGGGCACGTGAGTGGACTGCAAGCCCCGGCTCGCTTCGTAGGTGGGCCTGGGGCTTGCCGGCGCGTCGCTCGTCTCCCTCGCGCCCACCGAACGCCCCATGAGTGCGAGAGAGACAGGGCGACGAAAGCACTGACTGGTCCCGCCGCCGTTCGGGTCGGTTCGGTCCGGTCGCGGGCTGTAGAGGCATGTCCTCCCGGCCACGTGACGCATTTGGTTGATGACAAGGTCGTCCTCAAGGCCGTTGTGGGCGTGCGTGCCCGCCGGCTGGACGTCAAGGGTTCAAATACCGGCTCCTGTGTTGCCTTTCTTTTTCGAAAATTATCTCGGCGGTTCCTCGCGGTTACGCACGTCGATGACGATGCGTGTGTACGCAGGCGGCCAGAGCCAGCTTGCGGCTTGGGAACCTGAAACCTCGCGGCGCGTGCGCGCTTGCAGTGCAGTGGGTCGCCGAGCAGCAGCGGTAGCGATGACTCGCTATTGTTGTGGGCATCATGGGGGGCGGCCTTGGCTCCTTGCAATGTGCCTGCGGTCCTGCTGTGTGCAGACAGACAGACAGACAGACAGACAGACACGGACGAGATGCGCGTTTCGCCAGGCCCCCGCGTATTGAAATGGCGTCGGCCTTTCGTCGTGCGGCGTCCCTCTCGCACGCGCGTGTAAGTGCACCGCGCGGCATGCGAGGGAGTGAGACGGACAGAGAGAGGAGCAATAGGAATACAGAAAAAGCGAGGCGGGCCCGCCCGGGGATGGATTGGTGTCAATTGGTTGTGTACGAAGGCCCAAGCCGGGGCCTAAGCCGGGGGCCTCGGAGGACGAGAAAGCGGGTGTGACGGCGGCGGAGGGCCCCTCGGAGGGCCCCGTCGGGCAGGTGACTGCGGTCCGCGCTGGCTAGCTCTGGCCTGGGCCGCGCTGCCGCCGGGCTGCCGGCCACTGGTTGTAGGCCATGGTGTCACTTGGACACACTCTGCCCACGCCGGCGCCGTGCGGTGGCGCGCAGTGGCCGCATTGGTACAGTGTACGCGCTCGCCGCTCCAGATAGTCCTAATGGCGATGGCGGTGCGAGCCACCGCGGATTGCCCACACTGTAAAAACGGCCAGATCGGCGGCGTGGTTTGGTGTGGCGGCGCCGCTCTGTCGGCCGCCTCGCACTCGGCTTGTCGGAGCAGTGATGGGGCCCGGCCAGCCGGCCGCACAGAGGACGCCCTGTGTAGCTCGGGGCGTTACTGCCCGCCTGAGTGCGGCCTGGGCTGGCCTGGCCCGGGATGGCCGCGTCGACGGGAACGCAGTGGAAGGCAGTGCAGCGCCGAGTGGCGTGTAGGCGGCCGGGCCGACAGCCTGGCCGGGTAGGCAGCGGGGAGGCTGCCGAGCGGACGGGCGGCCTACCTGCACGGCGCTTGCCTCCACACTGTAGGTGAAGCCACTTTCGTCGCGCTGTCTCTGCCGCGCCCACGAGTGCGAGAGAGACGGAGCGACGTGCGGCATCAGTCTGCGGGCCGGGCATTAATCACACGGGAAGAAAGTTATGCACGGGCATTATCGCCCGGAAGAGACTTGGCCGCCGACTTGCGCTTTTAAAATGTCGTCATGACCGTAATGAGCAAGTACCACTTGTCCGGGCCGAGCCGGGCCGGGCCCAGCGCCCCGCGACCGCATTGTGTTGCGTTGTCCAGTGGACTGGACGGGCCGGCCGGGCCCCGCGGTGCGCGGTGCGGTGCTGGACCCATGGAAAGCGGCGACGTGGAAAGTAAAAACTCTAACGTGACGCGACAGGTCGCGTAACCGCGGTCGCGTCGTGTTGTTGTTGTTTGGGGTAGTAAAGGGCCTGCTGCTGGTGGAGGCTGCTTTCCAAGTCGCTCGCTGTGCGTGTGTGTGCGTGTATGCGGGTGTAGTGGCCGGACGCGCGGCTTGCTGCAATGGGGACACGCGTCGCAGGGGCAGTGCGTGACCGAGCCCGGCCGAGCCCGGCCGAGCCTGTGGACTGATTCCGAACCGCGTCTCTCTCTCTCTCTCTCTCTCTCTCTCTCTCTCTCTCTCTCGCACGCGTGAGGAGCCCCGCGGGGGAGCGAGAGAGACGACGCGCTGTTCGGAATCAGTCCGCAGGCTGGCCGTACACGGCCACCGTTATTTGAAGGGATGTGTTCCAGTGTACATACAAAGCTGGTCTTGGCTTCCCCATTGGCCATTAGGCGTCGGGCACTGCGGCCACGCCGACCACGCCCCCGCGCGCCTGGCGCTGCCCGCCTGCCTGTTCACAGTGGCAGTGCGCCGCTGACGCTGCCCTGAGACGCGGCCGACGGTGCGGCGAGCCACTCCGCGGACTCTGTGAAGGGCACCCACTGTACTGTAGTCGAAGCAGGGCGCCTCACTGTCACGGCCACTGCCAGACTGATAGGCCGCCAGGCCCCAGGGCCCTACACTGGCTGGCCGTGGCGCTTTCTCCGCGTCGTCGTCGTGGTCCTTACGGTGTGGCTGCGGAGGCTCGCGGACTCCGCGGGGTCGCGTCAAGCGAGTCAGGCGTGTGTGGCGGGGTAGGGCGCCGCGCCGTCTCTGCTCGTTTCCAGCTTTCTGTGTCGCCGCGACGCTCGCCGCTCACCCGGGATCGTTCTTTATGGCGTTTTCCCTCCGGCCGTTTAAAGGCGGGGCTCCGAAACGCGCGGGTGCGAGAGAGACGGAGCGACACGGCTTGGCGCCAAACGGCGGCAATGACTTGCTACGGCCGCCACGCCTCTCGCGTTTACACGCGTCCCGTTGCGCCGCGATTGTGCGTGTGTTGGCGTCCGTGTGTGGCTGGCACACTGTGTGGGTGGCGGGGCGGGCTGCAGCGCCGCAGACCGACTTCTGTGGGCATTAGCGGAGGAGTAGTGTGACTAGTGGCGTCTGGCCCCCGACCCGCCCATCGCTGTAATTCCCTGCCGTTCGCCGGTCTCTCTCGCACCTCCGCGGGAGTGCGTGAGTGCGAGGGAGACAGAGCGAGTCTTGGCCGAGGCCGGAAGCCAGCAGGCGAAGGGCGGCCCTCCCTCGCCCAATCGAGCAAGGCGACTATTATCATACGTCTCGGCTCGGCCTGCTCTGGGCGGACCGCCGAAATGAATGATGATTAGCGGACCGATTCCGAGTGGGAGGCCTCTGTCTCTCTCTCGCGCGCGCGCACACAACTCGTGTGGCGTCCCGTAAGGACACGAGAGACAGCGGCGAAGGCACTGTTGGGCGTCGAGGAAACACATGCATTGGCCGGTCTGCCCGATGACCGCCCCGCCCCGCCCCGCCCCGCCCCGCGGTGACGCAACTAACCGAAACGAAACCGTTGTGCCTTACCGCGCGTTCCGGGCGTTCCCGTCGTTCCGGTTCACCCCGCGTCAGCTGGGCTGCTTGCTGCTTGCTCCGCGGCGCTGCTCGTTGGGCTTCCACTTCCACTCCAAGATATGCGTCCGCCTGGCCGGCTGCGTCTCGGCGGCGTCCCCGCGGGCAGGCGGGGCAGGCGCGCGTCGGCGTCGGCAGAACGGCGGTCGTGACCCCCGTCGTCGTGGTCCGTTTGACACGCGGGGAGGGGGAGGGGAGTCTTGGTCCTCATGCCTTAGCGGCGGCGTTCCACTCCCCTGCGCCTACGTCTGTCTGTCTGTCGGCCTGCCTGGTTTGTTTGTCCGTCTGTCTGGCCCACGTGATGTGCGCGCGGCCCGGCGGCGGCACGGCCGATGGCATGCTAGACAATGCGTCCCTAAACCACCGTTCTGGAGACGCCTATTTGGCGGCAAGGACAACCTGCTCGCTCGCTCACGGCCTAAGTTGCGTGATCGCTCTGTTTGATTGGTGTGTGCGTGCGTGTGTGGAGGGGGGGGAGGAGGGGGGGGAGGAGGAGGAGGAGGGGGCACAGACAGACAGACACGCCTGCAGGCGCGTGCTCGGTGGGAGACGCGCCCCTTGCCCGGCTTTGCACTGTAGGCGACGAAGCTCTCGGCATGGCGCCTCGCTGGCCGGTGCAACTAGATAAATAATAGTGGCGTAATGGGAGAAGAATGCAATTGGTGAGTGGCGAGGCTGGCGAGGCGTCGAGGCGCCGCCAAGGCTGTCTTTCACACACCGTGACACGCCGGGGCACGCGGCACGCCAGGCCGGCCAGGCCGGAGCTGCACCGCAGTGTAATGCAATAGTGGCGGTGATGAGGTTCGCGTACGTGTAGCTCGTTCGAGTCATTCTCGGGCTGCCGGCTCACCACCGCCTCCCTGATCACGCTGCCCGTTGTTAGCGGTGTTGGAATTCATACCCGCGAAAAAACAACAACAACAACAACAGCAACAGCAGCACAGTCGCGCAAAGTAATGCTAGGCTACGGGCTGAAAATGCCGCACGCATGGACTCACCGGCGAAAATCGACGAACTATCCCTACCAGAGAGTCGAAAGATCTATCCAAAGGCGTTGGTAAGCCGGCTTAGTTTGTTTGATTTTTTTTTTTTTTTTTTTTCGCGAAAAAGAATTTTGAAATTTGGCGAGTGGGTTTTTCTTTTTTGGCGGGTGCCTTTGCTGCTCGCTCGAGTTGTGTACACACGGTGGTCAAGCACGAGTCGATAAGGAGAGCAGGTGTTGGAACATGTCGCGCGGCAGACCGCCCCGCCCCGCCCCACCCCAGACGGATTGGCATTTGCTTCATCGCGTATGGCAAATAAAAGGGCTCACCTTTTTTCCCGCGCCGTGGCCGCGGAGCAAGTGGTTGGTGTTGTTGTTTGTTGATGTTCGGTATTGACTCGCTCTGCTGTACGTGCGGAATCAAACACGCAGACCGACGAGAAAACAAAAGGGTGTACCTTTCGCGGTGGAGTAATGAATGGATTGTGACTTCGCAATCAAGTAGTACAAGACATGCGGCCGCAATGCGTGTAGCCCACATTGCTACGCCTGCGTGGATGTCTGTCTGTGTGTGTGTCGCCTTGGGCAGATTGTATACGTCATGTCACACCGCGCTCCTTTTGCACTGCGTCGTTAATTCGTGTTTTTTTTCTTTTCTGTCTCTCGGAATGGCCATTTCTTCTCTTACGCGACCGAGGACCGAACGGCGTGTCTGGGAAGTTTTCCGTTAATTTACCTTCTCCTACGGTGACGGGGCGTGTTATGGGGCTCGACTTGCTCTCGGCTTTAATGGGCGCGAGTCGCCAGTGCAGCAGAGTCGCTTTGTCTCTCTCACACCCGCACAGGACCCGACAGGGCGCCCCACGAGTGCGAGAGAGACGGAGCGACGCGACTCTCGGTCCGCTGTTTACCGCGCGGCTAAGCTCGTGTTATATGGAGGGGCTCTCTTTATGGCTGTCACATGTCACCTCATTGGAGTCCGGACGCCCGACGGACGGACGGACGAGCGGACAGACAGACAGACGAGTAAATGGATCCCTCGCGGTGCACTAAAGGGCTGTCGCGGAATGCCACTTATTCGGCGATAGACGCGCGCACCTTGGCGTGCCGAGCGTGACTCCCCCCCCCCCCCCCCTCCGCGCTAGTCCGCGCCTTTCCCCGCCGGGTCATTCTATGGATGCGAAGTGCATTTTACACCCGGCCGTTTATGGGCCTTTCTGCCGGGAAGTGCCGAGCCGCCGCCCCCTTGGCGTGGAGGGGGTAGGCAATCCGCATTCTTCGGGCGCCGATGGGAAACTTTTAAAAGGCAACTGCAGCCCGCCAGCCAGCATGGCCAGCACTTTGTATATGTGCGAGCCGCGGGGCTGCGGTGGCTGGCGGTGGCGGTGCAGCAGCCGTCGTGCCTCCGGAGTGATCTCATTCCGTCGAACATTGCGCTCCGCGCGGTTGCTTTGGTTTTTTTTGTAGTGCCGCGTGCTTCTAGCCGCAGGCGAAAATTTGTGCGCCGGGGGGGGGGGGCGTTCGTGGTTCCCCTTGTATGGCGTGCCGCACCCCGCCCCGCCACCGTCACGACGTGAGGACGAGCCACTCCCTGACCTTGCAGTGCACGGGGAACAACTGCATTAGCAGCTACACGTCCCAAAAAAAAGAAGAAGATGGAGGAAAAAATGCTGTCGCTGATTCGTCGGTGTGGTTGGATAAGGTTCGAGTGTAGACTACCTTCCGCGTGACCTTAAACGCAAACATTTGTTTGTCCGTTCAAAGTCTTCCCTCTCAACAGGTGTAATTTCCTGGTTGTAAATTCAATTTTCGGCCGTTGCAGTTGCCTCTTTAGCATTCATGCCAGCGATCGGGCGGCGCGCGATGACTGACTGACAAACGTTGCTGCGGCTGGGAAAACAATCGCGCGCGTAAAAACGCCCGGCGAGGCTCGGCGTGTGCGGAAGTAGAGGCGTCTTTTTGCGGCGTGGCGACGACGGCGACGGCGCGTGCACGTCGCGTACACGTCACCATGACGGCGGTCGTTTTCGGCGCGCACTTTGGCCGCCACCTGCTGGGCGATTAATCCGAGGCGTCGCGCTGTCTCTCTCGCACCCCCACGCGACGCCCCGTGGCCGTGGCGGTGCGACAGAGAGAGCGACGAAAGCGCTGTCGGGAGTCTGCTGGCAGTGTCGTTAAACGCTTCCGATTGGCTCAAGGATGCCGTGCAGCGACGCGGTGCGCGGCACTTCCCCGCCAGTGTGGCGGTGTGTGGAAACCTCGCGGCATGCGGGCGGTGCGCGGTGCGGGTGGACGCCATGCTGGTCGCCGTGCAGGCCGCGCGTCGTTGTCAACGCTGATTGATTGCGCGTTCGCCGAATGACTGAATGGCGTCGTGGCGTTCGCCTTGTCGGCGGCCACGGGGGTCATGTCGTCGTCGGCGAGACTGCGAGGGCCACCCCCGGCACGGCGGCTCGGTGCGGCACGGCCTCGGCGCCCGGAATGCGGTCGTCGGGGAGGGTGCGGCGTCGACGGCGGCCTCGCGGCGTCGTGGCGGTCCGTATTTGGCGCACCATTACTCACCCCCATTAGCGGGTCGTCAGCGGTGGGCTGAAAAAATGGCGAGGATCGTTGACGGGCCGCCGTCGGCTGCCTAGGCAGAGCGTGGCGGGGCGGGGCGAGCGCGGCCCGGGCCCTCGTGGGGCTTCGCGCGGCGTCGCCTGCTAGCCGGCCGGCTTAGGCCGTCCGCGGGCCGCGGGGCTTCCCTTGTGCCGACGACGACGCGCTGATTCACCAGGCAGCATGGCGGCAGCGGCGGGGGAAAGAAAGGGAAAGAAAAGGCGACGGAAAATAAAATGAAATGCCGGCCGTTTGTTGGATTTGCGCGGCGGTCGAGTCACGCGGTGGCGCAATGACGGGCCGCCGTGCCGCCGTCATAGAGCACGACGTCCACGACGTCCACGACGTCGAGGTGGAGGAGGGTGGGGGAGAACAATGCTAATGTCTCGTCCGGTCCACCGGCACCGCCGGCCGGGCCGGGTGCGAATATCTTCGGAATCGCTTGGATCTCTCCGCCGCCACCCACCTCCCCCGCTGCTACTCGCCGCCAGTACCCGCCCCGCCGCCCCCCTCCACGCCATTCTCACCTTTAATTCTATTTCCGTTGGCGGTGTAGTGGCGGCAGCGAGGCCGGTGCTGCATTGGTGCCGCGCCACGCCGCGTTGCGCTTTCCACGAAAGGCTCTCCTTGTCTCTGTCAGATGCTCAGATCTGCCAGGATATGGCTTCGAGGCTTCGCGGTGCTGCGCGGTGCTGCGCGGTGCTGCGCGGTGCTGCGCCGCGCGGGGTGGCGGCTAGGCTGCCTCTCGATATCGCCTCTCGAGTCCACATAATTCCCCCCGCCACTGTCGCTGGGCCGCTGCATTGTTTGGCGGTTGGTCGCGGTGATCGGCGTAATGGTGCTGGCTGAGGTGGGCGTGGCCGCGCGGCCGCGCCTCGCCAAGGACGCCGAGAAGGCCCTGGAGTCGGACTGACGGACGCTTTGCGTTTTGCAGGGATGGCGCTCGGCAAGGTGGGCTCCGTGCCCATGACGGAGGACACCCCGCCGGACCTGCTGGCCGGCGGCATGGACCTCCGCGTCGTCCTGCCCTGCGGCTCCGTGACGCGCTGCAACGTGGACAGGAGGTGAGTAAACGCGAACCCCGGCCGGGGGTCGAACCCGCAACCCGCAAGCCACAAAGCCACTGCAGTGTACATGCACCCACTCCTTTCACTCAAGCGAGGCGTGCACTCTGCGCTGGCCTCGGCCGGCGTCGGCCGGGACTGGCCTAGCCCAGCCTATCCCCGACGAGTAATGAAAAGGAAATTGTACTAATGGTCCGCCAGGCCGAGCAGTGTTGTAGCGATCATGCATGCCTTGCCTGCTCCGTGCCTCCGTGCCCGCCCTTGGCCTGCACTCGGTTCAACAGCCTAGCTCGACGTGCGGTAGTCCACTTCCAGGCCTCCAGACTTATTCCAGCCTTCCAGACTTAATTCCGCCTTCTCAGTGCCGACGGGGGCGTGTTTCCTAGTCTTTCCACTGCTAGCACTTAAACATTTTTTTTCTGATTTTTTTTGTTGACATTAGCGTATGCTTCTTGCAGCACGCCGATCATGGACCTGCTGGTGCAGTTGGCGCGGGCGCACCGCATCTCCCCCGCCGCCCACACCCTGCAGCCCTTTGGCCTGAACAACACGCCCCTGCACTCACAGCCCAGCACGCCCATCGGTAAGAGCGGGCCTCGAACCCCGCATTTTTAGTGGCCCCCATTCCACAGCCAGCGTACTTTTTGGCCTCCACGCGTCGCGGCGTCGCGGTGCTGTTGTGTTTTGGCGGCACGGCTATTGCCAAGGCTGCCCCCCTTCCCCCTGTTCCACTCCGTCCCGCTCCGCGCCCCGCCCGCATCGCGCATCGGTTCGGTGAACCGTAGAGATGATCTCGCTGGTCGCGATGAGGCTCCTGCCGCCGCGAGCGCCGCCGGCCGGTGAGCGCTCCGGAGCACCTGTCGATGGCGTGCGGCCGCCCCGCCCCGCCCCGCAGCACGCGCAGCCACCCCGCCCCGGCCGGCCCACCACGGCGATAAGAGTAATTTCCTCGGTGTCTCGATGCCGACGCTGATTACTCTACGCCCCACGGTGGTGGCTTGGCGGGGCGGCGCGCGCGACTCACGCAGCCTTGCCGTTTGGGCGCGTCGACGTCCACGTCTTGTTGTTGTTTGGGCCGCGCGCTGCGTCGCTGCGTCGCTGCGGCGTCAGCGTGCCGTCGCAGGGATGTCGGTTCGGTTCGCCGCGGCTGGGGCTTCATCGTGCATGCGTGAGTGCCTTCGCCCCGCCACTGTTTGCGAGCGTGATGTAGCGGAGAAGGACCGGCTCCGCCGAGGCTCCGGCGAGGCTCCGGGGATCCCGTTGCGGTAGCCGGCGCGGCGCTGCACGGCAGGGCGGGCAGGCAGGGCCACAGGCCACTCCTTGGCCATGCAGGCGATCCGATCTAGATGGAGGTGCCATGCCAAGAGCCCCCCTCCCCCTCCCCTTCCCGGCAATGCCGGCATTGCCCCGCCGCGGGCCCCGCGCTGCATGCCTCGCGAGGCACTGTTCGAAACGCGGCCCGGAATCCGCGCTCCAGCGTGCTCCAGCGTGCTCCAGCGCGCTCCAGCGACGAGACTAGACCGCCGCGGCATTTTTGTCGCTGCCCGGCCTGGAGTCTGTCCAGCCTGTCGTGCCGTGCCTCTCGGCGGCGGCCGCATCGGGCGCATCTCGGCAGCCTGGCTGCCTGCCTGCCTGCCGGGCCTGGACAAGCACCGCGCTGTCATGTCCGCCGTTTAAAATGATTTGTATAAACCGCGCGCGGCATGGCCAGGCATGGCGGCACGCCGACGGCCGGCGCGAGGCACGCCCCTCGAACCATTGGAAACCAGCGCCGTGTTGCGGCTCGGCGTCCTCGGCGTCGAATCGAGATGGACGGGCAGGGCGTCTGAGGGCGTCGGCCGCCGTGGACGCGGAGCACCGCGTGATGCACGTCGGCGACGTCGCGCAGCCATGCCGTTTACATTTCCGTTTGGACGACAAAGAGTTGTGTTCGGCGCTGCTGCGCGCTGCCGTCGCCAATGTATGGCGGCCTGGTGACAGTGCCGCCTGCATTACTCTATCGGTCTGTCTGCCTGCCCGTCTGCCCGCCCGCCCGTCCGTGTGGAGCCGCGCGGCCGCTCCCAGTGCTCCTCTTTGCTCGGAAGGTGGACACCGCCTCGCCCCGCCACGTCGATGAGGGAGAAAGTATTTTGACTGATATGCGCGCCGCGGTGCCGCCGCGCTGCCGTGCCCCTACATAGCGTGATGGGATGAGAGTGAGTGGCGGTTTGGCGAGGAGGAGTCAGTCGTCCCGTCCCGTCCGTCGGGGAGGAGGAGGAGGAGTGACAGAGGAAAAGGGAGAGGATGCGAGCAGCGCGTCGACGGGGAGGCTGCGCTGCGGCCGAGCGGCGGGACCGGATATGCTGAATGGAAGGGGCGCCGGCCAGCAGAGCCAGCAGGGCCACTACACCTGCAGAGTGTGCGTGCAAGGTGCGGTGTTGGCTCTGCGCGTCCAACATTGTTTTCCACGCGCCGAATTGAATGGAACAGAATGGGGCGATTGTGCTTTTCTCGGGTCCACTGGTCTGGCGGCGCGGCCCCCGCTTAGAACGCGTTGCGCGGTGTCGAGATATCAGCAGGCGGCGAGGTGTACTGTACCTGGTGCACCTGCAGCTTTGTTCAACCGGCACGCAGTGCCACGCACAGGGCGCCGCTTTGTTTCCAGTGTGCTCTCTCTCCTTGTGGGCCCGTATAAACGTCGGCAAACGGAATGCGTGGTGCCCCCTCTGTACGCTCCGCGGGGCGTGAGGACGTTTTCGGCCATTTTTGCGTGCTCGGCATGACGCGCCGCCATCCTTGGCGCCGCCCCGTTCAATCACAATCCCGCGGCAAATTTATTGAACGGGTTTCTCGACGCGGCGCTGCCACGGCGTGGCGTTGCGTCAAGCAGAGAGGCACTCTCCGCGCTGGGGCTGGGCGATAGGCCGCGCCACGGGCGGTGCTGCACCTGCACACAGACTCCGAGAGTCGTTCTCGTCGCTGTCTCTCTCGCACCCGTACGGGACGCCCCGTGAGTACGAGAGAGACAGAGCGACCAAACGGCCTTTCGGGCGGCTGGCGACCCGAACTGACCCCCCGATGCAAGAAAGCGCGGAGCCTTCCTTGGCCCGGTGAAGGGAAGGGACTTGTAAACGTGGCCCAATTACATTGCACCGCCCCGCCGGCCCCGCCACTCCGCCGTTTAGTCCGCGAGTTTCCAAGTGACCATCGCTGCTGACCTCCCCCCGACTGAACTCCGAGGCGCGCGGCAGCGGCAGCTCTAATTGCCCGTGGGCCGATGGCCGATGGGCCTGGCAGCCGAGCGATTCTTCGTTCCTCCGTCTCTCTCTGGTCCTACGGGACGCCCCGCGAGTGCGACTGAGACAGAGCGACGAGACGGAGCTTCGCAGTGGCCGCGCAGCGATTTGTGCGCTGGGCTAGGCGGACGGGGGCGGCCTACTGTTTCGTCTCGGAGCGTCCCACTTGCCTGTCCTGGCGGGAAGCAACTTTGAACTTTTTGGCAGATGACACGTCAAGTTGTAAGGTGTGCCGTAATGTAACGTGCGGGCATCCTCCTTCTAATCTTTGGATTCTAAACGGTTTCTGAGCCCGGCTGGGGTCCGGTTCCGGCCGTTCCCACCGCACCCCGCGCTGGCGCTGGCGCTGGCGCGGCGCTGCGTGCCGGTGCGTGGTAATGTCCAAATCGCATGCCGCTATGCGCCCCGCCCCGCCCCGCCGAGAGGATGGAGAGGCTCTAGAGCGATGATGGCGATGTAGAGTCCGACGCGCTGCCGCGGCCGCTTGCTGGCGGTTATGCGCCGCACGGAAAGTGTGCAATTTTTTGTTTTGTTGGGTTTCGAGTGAAAGCTTTCTGGAGTAAGTGCGTGTGTTGGGGCGTGTGCGGCGAAAAGCGGACGTATCAGCGGCGGGGAAGTCCGCCGTCGAGTCGAAACCGAGCGCACTCCTCGCCGTGCCGCGAAGCGTCAAGTCGCCGTGGTGCACGCGGCGGCAAAGGAGCCTCCCTGTCGGACTGTCGGAAGGCCTGTCGGCGGATGCAGTGAGCTAGCGCAAATTAATGTGGCCGAAGTGGCTGTTAATCTGCATTTCGTTTCGTGCCGCCACTTTTGGTGGGATGGATGAGGCGCTCGGTTGACTCCCTGGGAACCAGTGGGGCCTAGCCTGTGCTTGCCGCCCGCCACGCCGCCGTGGCCGTGCCTCAATGGAATAGAGTTCCCTGCAGCTCGTCTTTACCAGACTCCCACGCCTTCCGCTGGCCACCGCACCACGCCGCGCCACGCCGCGCCACGCCGCGCATGCTCCCAGGCACAATGGGATGCTCTTTTAGACCTCTCGTTCAGCAGGCAGGTTAGCCTAGCCTACCCCCCGCGAACAGGCGGCCCGGCCCGGCAAGGTCCGACCTCGCGAGCGGACGCGTTCGCGCCTTGCGGCCGGCCCGGGCCGGAGGATGTGTCTCGTTTCCTAGGACGAAAGGGCGTTGGCTTACAGTGTGCCGTCATGGAAGTGAGAAGTGAACCCCACCCAACCGCACTGCTCCGTACCTGCGTCCAAATTGAGGATTAATCGATTGGAAGCCAAATGTGGGTCAGGCCGAGGACGCGAGGATAAAGGCAAACGTGGCGTGGGTTTTTTTTTTTTTGTGGTGTAGTGTGCGACGTGTGCGATAACGGAAAGCATTGTGTTGTTGCAGGAGCCCTTGACGTGTTCACCGTCAAGATCGTGCCCAAGGCCAGGTCCCTGGCGCCCCTGGCCAAGCGGACGGCGCCGCGGCCCACCCCAGCGCAGCCCTTCGAGCAGACGTTTCGCTTGCAGGTGAGCTCGCTAACGACGTTGAAGAGTCACGGCCGCCGAGGGCGAGGCCAGAGCAGGCCTCACCGAGCCTTTTCCTGTCGCAGGTGCACCTGCCCCGGAACCAGCTGTTTGTCACGAGAGCAAGCCGAGCTACCGTTCTGGGAGACATCAGGCAGCTGGCCTGCAGCGAGAAGAACCTGGACCCCAACAAGTACGAGCTGCGACACCCAGGTCGGTACCTCACCCTCCTCCTCCTCCTCCTCCTACGCACGCGAGCAGCCGCAGCCCGCGTCGCAGCTACGCGCCTATCTTATCTCACTATCAGTGGCGCGTCGTGATATTCGCAATGGCATGCATGCCGCCGCGGCGCCGCGGCGTCGCCCGACCACTTTTGGTGCGCGCCGCTCCGCCGCTCAGTGCACGTCGACCCTGTGACGCGAGCCGTGTGGCTGACTTGGTGATCGTGTCCGCAGCCAACTTGGACCAGCGCCTCGACCCGGAGGCGACGCTCGGCGAGTGCGGGCTGACGGAAGTGGCCCTGGTGGCGGCCGGGGGCAGACTCTCGCTGTCGTCGCTCGGGCTGGGCCAGCTGGGAATCGGACTGGGGCTGAGCCAGCCCCTGCCGGACATCATGGCCCTCCGCAGGCAGGAGGACAAGCGGAGGGAGGCGGCCAAGGCGGGGCAGTACGGATACCTCACGTCGCACTCGGTGAGTTGCGTTCCGCCGTCGTGTCTTCTGTATCTTTGGCGTTCCTCTCTCATCGTGTTCTTTTCCCCGCAGATGGCGCCCGAGGGTAGCGTGAGCAGCGCGAGCAGCGGCAGCCTCGGGGGGCGGTCCACGTCGCCGGCGCCGTCCGACGGAGAGCGATCCACGTCGCCGCCGGCCCTGCAGCCGCTGCAGCAACTGCAGCCGCCCAGCAGGCCCGGGCGCAAGCGCAGGCCCGCCCCGAAGCCGCCCGTCGCCGCCAGCGGCGCGGCCACCACCACGGTACGGACGACGACGCCGACCTAAGCGCCGCCTGGCCGCCTGGCCTCGCCACCACCGTCTAAAGCGTGAGCCTGCTGCGTGTTTCAGGAGATGAACAACAACATCAACAAGGAGGTGATCAACTCTGGCGGCACCGTCATCTCCCACTCGAGGAACAGCTCGGACAGCAGCGGCTACCACGAGGCGTCCGTGCTGAGCGAGAGCCCCGAGGGAGGCAGCCACACAGACAGGTGCGGCGCCGCGGCCAAAACAACGCCCGTTCGCGCTTACGCGCAAACAAAACCAACGAGGGCATTCGGAGCTCTGACTCACGGCGCTCTTTGTTCATTTGCAGCCTCTCCGGACGCTCGGGCAAGCTGCAGTCGTGCGTGTCGCAGCCCAACCTGAACCTGTCGCGGTCCATGACCAACCTCAACATGCCGCTGTCGCAGCACCAGCAGCTGACCGTGCGCGGCAACCGGAACAGCATTGCCGTGTCCGGGCACGGCCTAGGCCCGCACGGCCTCGACCACGGCCTCGGCCGCGTGCCCGGCGCGCACCGCGCCAGCACCAGCTCGCTGGCCACCGCAGGTACGGTGTGATTGCGTTATCGTCGCCGCGCCATTTATTGGAGCTCCGAATGCCCTTGTGGGCCTTGGGCCTTGCCGGCCGATTAGGCGAACACAATGAAAGCCGCTGATGGCGGCGCGACAGCGAATGACAGCGTTTATGACTGTTGTCCCGCGACGCAGCGCTGTGCAGCGGGACTGCCTACCTCGGCGATGGCAGGCGCCGTGGGTCGCGGCGAAACGCGTTCTTACGATTTCTCTGCCTCCAGGTCAGAAGAAGAAGAAGGCTCCTCCTCCTCCGCCGCCGCCGAGCCAGCAGACCCGGCCCGCGACTAACGGCACCGACCAGTTTCTGAAAACCCAGTCGCTGGAGCGGCAAAACTCTGTCCCGGACAAGGAGGCTCCCGTCGCCTCGATGACCAAGTCCAGCACCCTCCCCGCCTGCAGCACCCTGTCCGCGCCCACCCCCACTGCGGCCGCTTGCACCCCTGTAGGCTCGGCGCCCGAGTCCGCCACTGGCTCCAGTAGCAGCTGCCCCACCCCCACCCCCTCCGAGCAGTCGGTCCAGCTGTCAGGTAAGCCCGCGGACGACGACGCCGTTGGCGGCGGCTCTCTGAGCTCGGCCAGCGACAGCAGCGGCGGCAGCATGGGCAGCCCGAACGTCTCGACCGCCAGAGGGAGGTTCATGAAGACGATGGTGGCGGACGGCGGCGGCGGCGGGCCCCCGGTGTCGGTCAGGCCGTCGAGCCTTGGCCTGGCCCAGAAACAGGGACAGGCCTTGCGGGGCGGGAGGGTCGCCAGGGGCAGGGGCAAGGTCCCCAGCGTGCTGGCCGGCCCCCCCAAGTCCCCCGAGGCCAGCCCCGGCCTGCCGTCGCCGTCGCCACAGATCAGCCTCCTCGAGCCTCCCCCTCCCGACGTGATGGGCGTCTCCAGGAGGGAGTCCAGCGACTCCTGGCACAATTTTTTGGTCGAACTGAATCGCATTTTGCAAGACAGAGTCGGGGAGTACGTGTAGGCGATGGCGCCCACACCGTGCGTTTGCCGCAGTCGCCCCCACCACCAGAGAACGGGCTGCCCTCTCTCTGGTGGTTCGGGTTTAGCTGCTGCTTTTGTTGGCCCGAGTTCATAGAGGAGCTTTGTAGGCATGCGAATTTACTTTTTAAGCGGTCTTGTTTATTGGTACTGTTGTTTGGTATGCTATAATATGGAGTTGGTGACTTCTTCTTTTTCTAAAAAATAAAATTAACGGATTCCGGTGATGTAGTGTGAATTGTTAACAAATAACATTTACACTTTTTTGCTGGCTTTGTGTCTGGTTCTGTGTACATACATCTTTTTCTCAGTCTTTTTTTTTTCAAGTACATTTTTGTTTTGTAGTTTTAGTAGTGATTATTAGTATTGTGTTCTAGCTTAGTTGCATCAGACAAGTTACTTGTCTACAGCTAGACAAAACGCACTTTTTTTACGTAAAAAAAATAATACTTCAATAAGCGCTAAACAACCATCTCCGTTTGACAATTAACTAATTTGCTTGCTTTTGTACATACAGTATTATTTGTGCATGATATACATATATTTGGTTGTGGCTCTACAGAATATACTCCTCCCAAGGTCGCACCTCGCTCTGTGCTAGGGCTAGCAGCACAACCGATACCTCGCAGTGTGTATCCTGAGGACACCCCTCCAGCACCTGCACCAGCTCCAGTTCCAAGGCCTCGCCCTCGCAAGCAGGCTCCGCCTCTCCCGACAAGTCCAACAAGCCCGTCAAGTCCAACAAGCCCCCCACTTTCGCCAACCAAGTCACCGTTGGCTCGGCCTGTACGACCACCTCCTGCTCCTCCGAGTCCGGGAACACCAGGAACACCTACACAATCAGCTGGTACTGGCTCTTGGTCACAGTCGACATCACTAGATGGCATGGACAGCGTGTCGGAAGCAAGCTCGGCGGTCTTTGAGGACCAAACTGAGGCTGCAGAGAATCCTCAGACTCAGAATGACAAGACCAGTTTCGAACAGACAGAACCCATTGACAAGGAATTGGCAACCCAAGAGCCTCACTTGGTTGTCGAGGAAAAGATTGTGGGTGGTGTGGAAACAAGAGTGGCAGTTACTGGTACTGAGGTTTCTGGCTCTGGCATGCAAGTTGTGGCCCAGGACCGAGCTCTTCAGAATCTTACCACCAATGGTGAAGGTGCTTTTCTTTACTTACTTGCTTCTCAAATATCTTCGCACTTTCCTATGAACTGTGGCAGTAGAGCCATTGATTAATTCTTTAAGTTGAATGCATGAGTTTTAATTGGCTGGGCTTTTGGTTGCTGGTCTAACTTTATTATAAGATGCATGTAGAATTTTAAGTTGGTAAATAGACATTTAATTGGCAGTTATTTCATGCCTTACTAAATTTGCCTCATCCTTTTCTTCCTTTCAGAAGCTGACAGTGATCTGGGTACAGAAGATATTTCCCCCCAGAGAAGTGAGATTCACGACGACAGCTCATTAGAGCAGGGTATTCAAGTTTCGGACACTGAGATTAGTTCTAAAGAAGAAATCTCTCCAGCAAAATCTCAGTTACATGCACTAAAATCCGAAATGGCAAGTAACTTGTCAAAAACTGTTAAAGATGAGCCTGATGCAATTCAGGTTGGTTCTTGCTCATAACTCTGGCATTATACTTCTTGGTAAAATTTAATATTTCTACATACTTTCTAACTTTTAATTACAGGTTGCAACTCCCAATAAGCTGTCGCAAGAAATTGTGGAAGAGGAATGGGAGTATAGATTACCCTCCCCACCTTCTGCTTTCAGAGATTCTCGCTCTGACTCTCCTACTGTTACAGAGTTTGACACGGTGACTCTGGCAGAAGTTCATATGAACCCAGAAGAAAATGTACCTGCTTGGGAAGACAAACCATCTAAAACAGTCTCCTCAGACGTCAATTCTGCAGCTTTTGTAGAACCTGCAAAAGAGAATAATAAACCAACTAAATCTATGAGCCCCATCCAGGATAAGGATACTGTAGCCTCAGATTCCAATGTGGAATTCAAGAGAGAACATAATGAAAAAGAGAAATCCAAAGAGAAGCTCTCTTCAAGCTCAGCAGAAAAGTTGATGATTAATGAAACTGTGATATACACAGCTCAGACTGTGATAAATTCTAACAATGTGCCAAATGATGTAGAGAAGAGGAAGTTGGAAGGGCCAGCAGCAGTTCTTGATGAGCTGAACAGGGTTTTAACTGAACAGCGCAGTAGTAATGTTGCCACTCATCAACCTGTTTCCAGCCACACAGAATCGTTGTCACACCAAGTGCAGGAATCTGCTCCGATTCAGAACTTTTCTATGACAACATATTCTAGACAAAACTCATCTGAATGCATGCCTCCTCCTGAAGTACGGCCATCACTTGTCTTAGCAAGGAGATCATCTTTCAGTAATAGTAATGGCAGTCTAAACATTATGCCAAGGCCCATGGGCACTGGAGTTAGGAGGACAACATCACATGCAACATTAGTTGGAGGAAGAAGAGATAGTAACACTGTCGATGAAAAGAACCAATCAATAGAAAACCTGGCATCATGTGAAGAGAGAAGTCATGTCAACTACAGTTCTAGGAGAGAGTCCCAGACCCTTGGAAGAGCAGTTAGTGAAATGAACTTGTGCGCAGGTTTGTGTGAATTTATTATGACTATTTTAATTATTTACTTGTGTGAACAAATTTTTAAAAGGTATATTTTTATTAGGCCTTTCAATGACTCCATTAGAACCCGAATTATTACGGGAGTTCATGGAATGGAGACAGCTAAAACAGAAGGAGCAGCAGGAGCAACAAGAGAAGGAAAAACAGCAGAAAATGATAAAATCTCCTGAACTACAATCACCTCAGGTATGCTTTCACTGAGTATCTAAAATTTAATGTAATTCTGCCGCTCTTAGTTAAATTAACTTAATTTAAATCATTTCATCACTCATCTCCAGGTGCTTCGTACAATCCTACCCCAGCTTAGTCAGTCTCAAGATGACATTGGAGGTAAATCTGAAAGTTTGAAGGCCGATGCAAATGCAAACAAACCACCTAGCAGTGCTACAGTTACAAAGGAAGAGAATGAAAATGAAAAGTCACATGTCGAGGAACCTAAACAACAGCAGCCTGAACCAAAGGCTCAGGAGCCCATCAAGAGGTCTGTCCCACGAGGACCTCCTTCCATCCAGCTGTCTACCTGGAATGAGCGCCCAAAGCGACAAGTCAGCATTAAGATGGACAGAGATTACTGGATTGGGGTTGGAGGAGCTGCTTTACGTCCCACTCAGCCCGGCAGAGACAAGGTGGATGCTCCAGAGCCCAAGATTCTGGAGGTGGTCTCAGAAAAACAAAATGGGACTCACGTAGCTCCAGTTGAAGAGAAGGTCAAGGTTCAACCTCCTTCCCAAACAGTGCAGAGATTATCAAAACAGTATATAGTCCACACTACTCCTTCAGGATTCAGGCGTTCTGCAGATCCATTACAGCCTGAAAGTAGTGTTACCAGTTCGCTTGGGAGGCCACAACCCACTAAACCTGTGGAAGAACCTGAAGCAGTCAAAACTAAACTTATTAGTACTGCTGCTAAACCAGGGATACCCCAAGTTGATACTGGAAAGGTGGGCCAAAGCTTCCCAAACCAAACTTGCCCTTCTGAGACCACATCTGTAGAAGTTCCTGTCACTCCCAAGAATGATCCGTCAAGAGTTCCCATTGTTAGAGCTGTGGAACTTAAAAAGCCACCTAGTTCTTCAGATTTAAGGAAACCTTTGATTAGACAGAATGCAACCACAACATCTGCCACCAGCAACAGTGTCAGCAGTGTGTATTTTTCTTCAGGACCGGTTGCAACTAGTTCAGTCTCTGCTAGTGCAAAACCTGTGATTCACTCTGATTCTGCAAAGCCTGCTGTTGCGGTGAAGAAATTTACATCTGTTGTGGACATCAGCTGTCCATCAAATGACAAGATAGTGAACAGCACTTCAGAGGCCCAATCCTACAGCTTTGGACCCAGTGTTCATGTGAATGGGTTTGCATCACATCCTGAACCAAAGAGAAATTTGCCAATGCCCACAGTAAAGGGCTTCAAACTTGCTCAAGGCGTAGTAAACCGCCAGTTGTCTGCCCCTGCTTCAACTCCACCCCCACCTGCGCCAGTGCCACCTCCTGCACCTGTAATGCCTGTGCTGAAGAAGACTCCCAGGCCATCTTCCCTGCCTCCCAGAGTTCAGGACCCTCGCGACCAGCTCTTGGACGCCATTCGCAACTTTGGAGGTCGCACCAAGCTTCGCCCGGTAGGCTCATTATTTTAATATCCCTTAATCATGTTCTTGAGTCAAGTTCTTATTTTTATGGTGAATACATTTGTTTCAGACCACATGATCAACAACCTGGTGGACAGCATCATGAAGGAGAATGTTAAAGCAGGAGTCTTAAGTCAAAGTGAATTAGTTTTGTAGCATAGTGTGTGTATGTAAATTTTAAATTAACAAAATGTGTATAGTTTCAAAGTTATTCCTTATTATTTATGTATAAATTTACATATGCAAGTTATATTGAAAAAATGAAAAAATGCTATGTTCTTCTACATTTATCCAATCTGTACGTTAGAAGCAGTAGTGTAAATACTTGTATCTACCTGCCCTCATATGCTCAATTATTAATATTTTGAAAGACTTATTCTGTATTCACAACGAGAGCATGTGGTATTTTATTTTTTGTTTGTCTAGTGCAATAATTAATACCCTGTTAGTAAAATTTGAAGGAAGTGAGGAAGTTTCCTCAGTCAGTCATTAAGATCCACAAGTAGCTGGATATGAATGTACATTGTTTAATGTGGATAGATTTGTGTTTATGTGCCAGTATGTGGGCCTGGGTTTTCAGGGTATTTCATAAAATTTGGTTTAAACTGTTCAATTTTGACAGTTTCATATCAAAGTTTATTTACGTCATACATCTGCTGAACTTATTCAGATAAATGTTGTTGTTAGACCAGTGTGTACCAACCAATAATAATAAACACGGTATTGTTAAAATTTCTGAAACTTGACCATAGAAAATATCACAGCTTTCACTCCCAAAGTTACTTTAAATACATTAAAAACGTATTTAGAAATCAAAACAAACTTCATTACATGATGACAGAAATAGAGAAAATATCACAGATTGTCAAAGAGATGATTTTAGCAAATATTATCACAGGAGCTCAAATCAAAAAATGATACCCTCCGTACCACGCCTTTAGATATTTTTATGATAGACCTGAAATTTTTAAGCAGTGCCAGGAAAAGGTTCAGAGTGCCATTGCAATTGTTCACTGCTGTACAACAAGCACCACTGCACTTCCCAAAAACTAAATTTTGGCTGTTGATTATATCTTTTTCTAAAATTTCGAGAGTTGCTCTCTTAGCTTTTTCAAAGTCAATATCACCACTGCTAGACTTGTCTCCCATGAAAGAAATTTGTTCCCAAGTTTTTGTTTGGTGACAGTTGCTGAGCAAAATCTTTAATAGGGTTAAACAGTTCCATGATAAACCACTTCTCGAAACATATAGCTGAGTAATCAGTTCATGGTTTTGGCAAAATTTTGTCTTTTCATACTCATATTCAATTCTCTTACCAACTAACTTAAATGCATCAATTAAATGACTGAATTTTAAAGGGACTATATCATGAATAGTAGATGGGAGAATAAATCCATATTCAAGAAAAAGTTTACTATTTGAGTGTGGTCCATAGTTGATGAAAACCTCTTTAAATTTTGAAAATGGTTGTAATGTTGTTATTTCATAGCAACCATTGGAAATATTCAACCCAACTTTTACCTTGGCATTATCACTATGATTAAACATATCAAGGTAAGGTGCCAAGGCAAGGCAATTACGGTCTTTAATGGGGATAGAATGGGAGGGAACACTTTCTGGTTCGATAAAAACAGCCCTTGTATTCACACAACACCAACCCCAAAGAAAATCATCCCACTTAAATATATCAGCTGCTAGCTGCTGACAATGAGAGCATCTGATACTGTCGATCATTGCCATTAAATGTGAGAAACAGTTTTGAACTAATTCTAGCATACCTGCTGCTTGTTCTTGAAGAAACCACGGGAAGCTATTAAAATGACACTCATCAAGTGTAATAGGCGTTGAAAAGGAGCTAGGCAGAGTGGATACATACTCGGACCAAGAGGAGTCATTTCCTAAATGCCTCTCCCATACTAAGAACCAAACTAGAAGCTGCAATATAAAAATTAATTTTACAGAAATGAAAAGGTGAACAAATGTACAAAAGAGTGGTGTTGACATACCTCTTGACACAAGAAATTGCAGTTTTTTGCACCCTTACAGCTGCTTAGAATTTGTCCGAAAGAAGAGGTGGACACTGTTGCTGTCGTAATGAGTAAATGTTTGGGAATGCTCACAATGACGTCACCTGAAATAGCAAAAGTTTTCCTTGAATTCTTTCATAGCCTTTTATGGAGAGAAATATTGAAATACATACCTTTAGAGACGTTGTTCAAAGCCATCAAGCCTCGACCAGTGTCGACAAACTTGGCTAACCGCAGGGAACAAAGTTGACTCCAACCATTCTTACTCATCCAACGAGTTAGCTGCACAAAACTAGGGTCGGAACTCAGGTTGACAGGACGACATTTTTTCCTGCTTCTACATCGAAAAGTTCTACCCATGGTTTACTTGCTGGTGCAGTACAAAGCGTGCTTTTGTAGGTTAAGGCTGCAGCAGACAACGTCTACAATCCTTGGTAGTCCATGTACTTAAATGCATGCGATGAAGTCTAATGATATCGTCAAAATAAAACCTATAAATGATGCCTCAAACACATATTTTCGTTTCTGAAAGGTCAAGAACTGAACATTAAGAACTTAAAATTAAATAGCAGCCGAATGTGAATCAACACCAAGCCTGCTGCGGGTGTGTTTGTTTGGTATGAGAAACTTTGAAGTCATTTTTCGGTTGGAAGTACCTGTCCTGTGGTACCTGTCACACCTGTGATGGCCTTTCGACCAGTGACCATCGAATTTTGTACGGTGTGCTCGGAGGCCGGGTCCACTCTTGCGGTTGAAGAAAGTTTGATTTTCGAGGACCGAGATGTATGTCATTACCCACGACTCTATTTTGCTTGTTCAACTTTCATTCTTCTGATCACAGAATGAACGTCAATCCTTTTAAGTAAAGACTTTCGGTTAAAAAAAAAGAATGTCTCAGTAACCTTGCAAATTCACCCATTATATACTGTCTCAATTTACAATGAAAGAATGCAGCTTACTATTGCAATCCCAAAAGTATTCATTTGTTCACTGAGGGATTTCCCTGCAGGTTCCATGCTACTTTGTTATATATTTAAAAATTGTAATCTTGTCGTTTTGATTTTTTCCAGCTTGGTTGATTAGGAAAAATTATTTGTGATGTCGAAGAATTACTCATATACTTGCACTTTTTGAAAATCATCATTTGGGATCTGCTAGAATGGAGAAAAAAGCTTGTGAATTGTCACAAGCTGAGAACAAGATGATTCACAAAATACCTCCCGAGGCAGATAAAAATAAAGAAAAAGGTGACAAATCTTCCGAGTTACCACAGGAGGAAGGGAAGAAAACAGTGCATATCTCAAGACGACCATGGATCACTGAAGAATTCATGCAGAAGGTTCGACAACGAGATGAACTTCACTCAAAGGTCAAAAAGAATCCAGCTGATTCAGCTATGAAAAAGCAGTTCCGTTTATGTCGCAACCAAACAGCAGCCTTGAGGAAGAAACTGAAGCATGCATACCAAATGTATCTTGAAGAACTGTAACAGCAGTATCATTGCAAATAATTGTAAGATTGTTCTTTATTCTTTGTAAAAACAAACATAGTACAAATGTGTCCAGATACTCTTATTATTTCATTAAGAAGTAGATAATCTTCAGATTAAGTTGAAGTTAATGAAAAATCTATCTGTATGCTCTCCTTTCTTTTGTATTCTACACATATAAATAATTCAAAAGTCAACAAGAAAATGCAACAGTTGTGAAAAATTATGTTTAAAGCCAATGGGGTTCATTTGCAGGCAATGAAAAAGTTTGGTTTCCCAAATAAAATTGGAACTAGAGCCACGTAACAAAAAAGTAACAATAAATTTACAAGTCTACAATTGACAATGAATCATCTAGTGTATCACAATAATGTCTTGTGAGTCCCATCACAAAATGGACGTAGTTTGGTCTGTTTGCAGTTACACAGATAATAATCATCTTCTTCTTCAACTTGAAACTTGATTGGCTTCAAAGTACATTTATATTGAGGAAGCTTGTGTGTTCCATCACACAAAGGCTGCCAAAAAAACAATAATTAGAAGAAAGAATTCAAAAGGCACCATTAAACAAAGAGCGAGACTTCAAACCTTACCTGAGATTTACTGTAGCCACACAGACACCAGTGATAATCTTTTTTCGGATACAACCTCATTCTAAAAGGCTTGTAGTCATAAATACGTCCATTTTCTGGCTGACTAGATGCAGAATAAATGTGTGCTATAGTATTCTTTGGGATATCTGACGAATTCCTCGCAGAGATGTAAGAAACCTGCAGAAGAAAAGAACGGCACAGAATTAACTTTGGTGAAAATTGAATGACCAAATAAACAGGGAATCGTGCACAGTAAGATAAAGCGGAACAATAAGGGCTAAGAGTTTGCAATAAATTATGTGGACTTTGATACGATGTACTTGTTGAGGTTACATCCTAGTTGACAATACCTACAGCATCACCTACAGTACCTGAGAGCTTGCCACGCAGTCAATTTTTCTCCTTGAAATACTCCAGAAAGTACTTCTTAGACCGCACATGAAGTTGACATTCATTTTCGTTGTTTCACAAAACACGGCTGTTCCACATGCAGGAGGAAGGTTTGAAATGTCGCAAGGTTGGCAGTCTACATGCCACCGCCCCCCCAGCAGGCGCCGCGGCTCCGAGTGAAGGGTCCGTTTTCAGCGTTCCTACAAGGCGGTGGCGCGTAGCAGACGATGTTTATTGTGGCTGTGGCGTCTGCTGGCCGACCAACACAGTTCCCTGTCTAGGGGCGTGCTCTCCGCGTCGCGTACCGCGCATTCCGCGTCCTTTCGCGCCTCCTTCGCGCATTCGTTCAACAAGTTCACCCATTTTTGGTGTGGTGCCAGCGGCGGGGCTCGTCTGGACCGCGAGGGAGACGTCACCCACACTGCAGGCGACTTAAGCCTGCCTTAAGCCTCGCGAAACGGCGCCACTCGGTCGCAGATCGATCTGTCATGCGGCGTTGCTGAGGAGGCGGAGGTAGGAATTGGCGCGCTCCGCGCTCGTGCGTGCCTCGTGCATGTCGTGCATGTCGCGCCCATGGACACGTGCGCGGGCAAATTTCGGGGCGCTGCAAACCATCAGGGTGGAGGGGGCGTCGACGGAGCATTGCACCACCGATGCCTTTGTAACCCCCACCCACCCTTCCCTTGGTGATTCTCGGACACGGTATGCGGAGAAGCGCCAGGCGGACTCACACTGACACTTTGCTTTTTCGTGTGATCACAATGAGTGCCGCGGTGTGGCTGTCCGCTTTGGTCCGCTGGCCGGGCCGGTAAGTTGGGTTGCCAGCATTTAGTCGCGGTAGGGGAGGGGAGGGGGGGGGGCTTTTCTGCTCGGTTGTTGGACGCACCGAGCTCCAAACTCTCAGGTCTTCTAACATGAACTGCTGTGGACCCCGTTCCTCCGACAGCCACCATCATCGCTAGCTCAGCGCCCGCTGGCTAGGCAACCCAACGTGCCGCATTCGGCCAGAGCTTGGACAAGCGCCGTGCGACGACGAAGTTCAGCCAGGATCCAGTGGGATCCAGGAGAAAGGGGCCAGGCTGGACAAAAACGACAAAAAGCGCTGCCTGTGACTGGACAACTTCCGTGGCATCGTTGCCGGCCGTCCGACTTTGTCTGGTGGCCGGCCGCATCGGCCCCATGGCGCGCGCCCCGACCCGAAACGTGCCGATACGCTGATAGTTTTATTTCGGCCTGCCGGCACGCTCGTGCGGCTTCCGAGAGTCGTCGCTCTGTCTCTCTCGCACTAATGGGCCGTCCCGTGTAGGTGCGAGAGAGACGGAGCGGCGACGGTCAGACTGCAGCCACGCGGCCCGCAACGCAACTGGAGCAGCCCTTATCAAAGGGAAACAACGTGCACCATTCTCGGGCCGGCGCGGGTCGGCCCGCGCCCGCCGCCGCAGCGCTGCTGCGACGTCACTTGACTTGACGTAGTATCGGTTTCGGCGTTAGTGCTGCTCCGACCCCGCTGTTCGATTTCCTCCCCGTCTCTCTCTTGCGGGGCGGTGTTTGCTCGGTTTCGTGACAGCGATTGTTTTTCCGAGTTCGCCGAACGTACGGCAGCAGAGTGCAAAGCATCAGAGGGCTTCAATGATGCAGCGGCCGCTACGGTCAAGTTTTGAGTTGGTGAAAAATGCATCGGATGTCGTCCACGGTCGTTGTGTTGCCGTCCGTTCCCTGTGCTTCGGCCTGGAATAGTCCTGCAGGGGCCTAGAGCCGCCTAGAGCGGGCGCTGGCTAGAGTGCCACCGTGCCCGGATGGGGCTTCGTTGTTTGGGGTTGCTTGCACCCTCACTACCCCCGTGCGTGCAGCTAAGGTTCCACCCCCTGCGATCGTCTCAGGTCTCCCTCTGTGAAAGCGTATCTGCAGTTGCAAAAAACAATCGAGGAAAAGGGGTTGGTCAGGAATTTCTTTTTGATGGTTTTGGTCTGATCAACAGAGAGCAGCCAGCAATCCGCTGATGGAGGCGGAGTCGGGTCCTCGAGACACACACTACACTCTGCCGAGGGGTGACCTCTCTCAACACGACTCCATTTGCGAAACGAAGCAATGCCGTCTGTAATTTGGCGATGCGGGTGTCTCGTTAGGGAGGGAGGAGGCGATGGAGGGCTTTGGCCGAGTGGTTGCCTCGCCTGCGGCCTCGGCCACCCCCTGCCCACCCCACCCCCGCCAGCCGTGCAGCCTCTTTCACTCGGCGGCATCGCGTGCGGGGAAACAGCCGAACGGGACGACGGCTTTCACAAAACGGTGCAAAATCGTGTCCAAATCGCCACCTGGCCACCGCCCCGTCCCCACACCCCTCGCCCCGGTCCTCCCCCTTGCTACGCCGGGCTACGCACGCCGCGCGCCGCCACTCCGGCTGCGTTGGGGAGGCAGAGGCTCGGGGTGTGGCGGCCCGGCGGCCGCGGCTCGACAGGGCCGGGGGCGGGGAGGGGGGGAGGAGGGGCGAGCCGGGAGGGCGCGCGCGCGCGCTTCGCTCCCCGCCCGAAGCGGACCCGGCGCGGCGCGGCGGCCGAACTGAACTGAACGAACGCCGAGACGCCGTCGCCGTCAGTCGTCTGCTTGCTGTTGGCGCTGCGCGAGCACGCCGTGTAGCGCACGGAGAGCGTCGTCGGGCACGCCGCGCCCCGCTGCCCCGCCACCCCGCCGGCACGGCACGACGGCACGCGGGTCGATGTCGTCGAAGTGCGCCGCGCTGTGAGCGGAACGCGCCCGCGTTTGTGTGTGTGGTGTGCAGATCGGATACTACTTCTAGCTCAGCACTGTGAACACGATTAGCGCCTTACCGGCTGGATTCATTCGCCGCCGTGGCCCTGGGCGCCTTCCTTGCAGTGTGCGTGCTCCCCGAGCGTGCGTGCGCCGCGTGCGCGACACCCGTGCGCCGCACGCGGCCGGCCCCTGCGCCCCTCCGGCCCCTCCCCCTGTTTCCCCAGCTGCTTTTCTCATCTCAGATGCGCCCCGCCCCTCCCCTCCCCGCCCCCTCGCCTCCCCGGCGGGCCGAGCGGGGGTGAGCGACCTGGACTAGGACCGTGATCCTCTCGACTCGTCGCGTATTTTTCGCGATTCTGTGAAAGTGAAGTGAAGTGACAGGGCAGCTGTGCGCACTGGCGTTGCTGAGCGCTTACGGACCCCTCCCGTGGATATTTGGGATTATTTCAGTCTGCCGTGCTCTGCCCCTCCTGTCGCAGCGATCATCGAGGTGAGCACGTTCGCGTTTTTTCTTCTGTTTGTTTTCGTTTTTGTGCGTGAAGTGACATGCCGTACACTGTGCTAGAAGAAAGAAGCGCCGCCGGCGTAATCCCTGCCGGGCCGGCCGCACAGTGTCGTGACAGTCTTGTCACGATCTCGGGGCTGATTAAAACCCGGTTCAGTTTCTGGACCGAAGCGACTTGCATTAGCCGCCGGCCGGCCTAACCTAATCCGGTGAAGTTTCCAAAGTTGATTTGAGCGGGACGGGAATCCATATGGAAGGACGGAGAGAGAGGCCCTTAATTTGAAAAGTGTGCGTCGCGGCGAGGGGGGCGGGGGCGGCTGACTCGACGCAATTCATCCTGATGGCGGTGGAGGGGGTGAGTCAGGATGCGGCCAAGGCAGTGCCACGGCACTGTCAAGGCGACGCGACGTCCGCCAGACGTTGTGGTGGCTGTGGTGACCACCCTCCTCGAGAGGCGATGGTGATTCACGTGGTGACAGTCTCGGGCATCGAAGAGGACCGTGCCGCCTCGATTCGTCCCGTATAAAGAAGTTGATTCAGACCCACGGTGGTACCAATGCGGATAGCTCTTCGATCGAGGATTCTATTTGGCTCCACCATGCGTTCGATTCAAGCCTCTAATCGACTTCGAAACGACTTACACAAACAGTCTTTTGACGTCCTGCGCGCGTCCGTGTAAACAAGGCCGTCATCGACGCTGATGGTGATGATGACCGTGTTGATGACCACGGACCGCGGTGGACCTCGGCGATGGCAGTGACCACGGTGGTTGGTGCGGTGCGCTCCGTACTTACAGCGCCCCGCTTACGTCCGGTATTATCGAATCACACGCCGTGAATGGAGTGATTGGGATGGTAATGAGACTGCCTAAGTATACCACGGGAATCTCCCCCCTCCCCTTCCCTTTCCCCCCTCACCCTTTCCGCTCCTCGCCCGGCTCCATAGTACCATCCCGCGCGCCCCGCTGCGCGCGGAGGTAGACAAATAGAATAAATAAGAAAATGAAAAGGAGTCGGACAGGGGAGAGGGGAGGGGGTAGAGGTGAAGCGGCTCGGCGTCGCGGCGGCGCGGCGCGGACTGACGTGGCGGAGAAGTACGAGGAGCAGAGCGAGCAGAGGCGGCGGCGCGGCCGTTGTGTGCCGTACAGATCCAATGCAGCGCCTTCTTCAGAGCCTTGAGGGCCTCGAGGGCGCGACGTGCTGCACTTATTTTTAGAGGCCCTGCTGGGTGCTTGTTGCGCCGCCGCGCCGCGCCCCGATCCAGCCGCGCGCTTTCGGCGTGGACAACAATGGCATTTGGCTGATTGCGGCAACGGCACGGGGTCGGGGTTGCTGCAACACTGCAAGCAAGAGGTGCAGTGCACCGCCATGGACCGCGCGCGGTGGCGGCGGCTCGGAGGCGAACCATCCGCTTCCGTCCGTGCAGTGCCATGCAGTGCCACGCTGCCCGTTCCGCCGCGCGCGCCGAGGCGTGGCGTGGCGTGGCTGGTCATCATGACGCTCTGTGACACGATTGTAATCGGCGGCGTGCGTCGCCCGGCCGCACGTGCACGCGCGTGACGACGCGTGACCGCCGCGGGCGTGACCCTGGGCCGCCGGGGCTGCGACGCGTCGACCGGACCACCCGCGATGAGAATCATTTGCTGTCATAAGTACTCGCAACCCCGTGCTGACCTCTGCCTCGTTGATAGCAACCCCTGCCGTCTGTGGCCGTCTGCCTGTCTGCTCTAGAGCGTTCGTGGTGTCGTGGCGACGTCGCGTCTGCTCGCGGTCCACGCCGTGCGCGCCAGTTTCTCGGTTCCTGCTCCTCGCACCTCGTCGCCGACGTTGCCAAACTGCACAAATATCGCGGAACGTCACGCCCCCTTATCTCTGTCACATAAATCCCATTTCTTTCTTTCTTTCTC